CATGCAGACCATATTATCATTAGGGCATGTGCAGTTAAGCACAATGACCCACGTGATAATAGTAGGTAAAACCATTTTATTTTTATTTCTTAAAATTTTACTATATATCGACAAAAATCTAATAGATTCAACGATTAAAATATATGTAGATAAAGTCATATTAAGTGTAACCTACAAATTGAACTGATCTAATTCAATATACACGAAAAAACTTATTAATATTTTAGGAAATATTAAAATTTTGGCAATTTTATTATTAGTCTTATTGATTTAATCCTACGAACATGTTAAAGATTTTCAAATGTGAATGAATCTATTGTATTATTTAGTAAATTTTTATGTAAAAGAACTATTTTATTTAGCTCCCTATATTATTTACAAATTTTCTTCCAGATGTGTATTTCAATTCAAAGAGAGAACTTAAGAAAGATACTTTTTGTAATAAAAAGAACTTAAGCTATTAAATTTAAAACTTAATAAAAATTATTTAAAAAAAGACACTAATTTACAAAAAATTAATCAAAATTGGACATTATTTTTTATTTAAGAATATAAAATTATATAATAAAATTGAATCCCAACAAAGAAAAGCAAAAATTAGTCGATTATCACTATGTTTTTCTGTCTCTTTCTTTTGGTCGAACCGGATATCTAAAAATTAATTGAATTAAATACAATAATATTCATGTGTATAATTTGGATAATTAGTAATTTGAATAAAAAATAATGTATTTGGGGGTGGGGAATTATTGTTTCAACCCAACTCTAGCATGGCGAATTAATCGAGAGGGGGAATTATTCGAGGGAGGGGAATTAATCGAGAAAATGCGGTTCCTAGTCCCAGGTTCCTAGAGAATATAAAATTATATAGTCAAAGACTGTTCCCTGGTTCCTAGCCTTGGCTGTTCCCAGGTTCCTAGTCAAGACTGTTCCCTGGTTCCTAGCCTTGGCTGTTCCCAGGTTCCTAGTCAATACTGTTCCCTGGTTCCTAGCCTTGGCTGTTCCCAGGTTCCTAGTCAAGACTGTTCCCTGGTTCCTAGCCTTGGCTGTTCCCAGGTTCCTAGTCAAGACTGTTCCCTGGTTCCTAGCCTTGGCTGTTCCCAGGTTCCTAGTGGGGAATTATTTTTTCAACCCATCCGTGGGGAATTATTCAAGGGAGGGGAATTATTCGAGTTTTGAAAATTGAACGTGCAGTAGGGTATTTGGGGTGGGGAATTATTGTTTCAACCTAACTCTAGCATGGGGAATTAATAGAGAGGGGGAATTATTCGAGGGAGGGGGATTAATCGAGAAAATACGGTATAGGGATCAGATATAGGCATATATATATATAATATATATATATAGGATCAATATAGGCATCAGGTCAGGGTCTTTTCTTTTAGCTTAGGTGTCGAATTAGATTTAATAAAAATAAACTTAACTTTCGCGTTTTTGTTTTGATAATAGTTTCAGTACCACCCGCATCAGCCGCTGCATAAGATTGTTGTTGTTGTTGTAAACCAGAAAACATTACAGCACGTTGTTGGGCATCTTTTAAATTATTTGCTGCTCCAATGTTTGGGGGAGGTTGTTGGTGTTGAGCCCCGTAAAAAAGTTGCTTCATAAGTGCATAGTTGTTTTGATGTTGTTGAGAAAATTGTTGATTTTGCTGCTGATTTTTTGAAGAAGCAGATTCTTTTTTGGATTTATGCTAGAAAAAATTTTTTGAAAATTAAAAATTTTTTTATGAAATTTTTATTTATTAAAAAATTTCTTTTATTCATTGAAGAAAAATCAGAATCAAAAATTCAGAATATTCCGGAAAGTTTAATTTTAAAATTCTGATGTATTGAAATTCTGAAAGTTGGTTTTTTAAAATTAATTGATTCTGGAAAGTTTTATTCAAATAAACATTCTTTCCGGAAAAATTCTATTCTTGCAATGCTATCTCTGTTTTTAAAGAGCACTTTTCTTTACGGAAAAACTGTGCTTTTAATGGTTTTTTATTCACTACCTGAGCAACAGACTGATGAGAAAAATGTTGTGAAGGATTAACAATATTATTATTTCCAATACCACTCAATTTATGTTGCTGGTTATTTTGGTGATATCCATTAAGTATATGTTGTTGTTGTTGAGGAATGTTTATACTAGTAGAAGCAACAGGTGTCGCTCTTTGTTGTTGCTGTTGTTGGGCATTTTTCTGTTGTTGCTGTTGACGTTGGAATTGTTCGAGTTGTTGTTTTTGTTCTTGTTGTTGTTGGAGACCAAAAGGAATTCTGAGAAAAATTTTTTGTAAGGTAGTTTTAACCAAAATATAAGATATACCCAATACTAGATACACCTCCACAAGGAGGTATCGTATAGTACGGTCAAAATTAAACTCACTGCATTTGAAGCATCTGTTGTTGATGCTGGGCAACAATATTGGGTGTTGAAATTGGAGCTGAAGCAGTGTTTGTTGTAGCAGTTGTGGCTACTGATGCAGAAGAGGGTACAAGAGGAATTTGTTGTTGTTGTGAAGCAAAAAATCTAGCTTGGCTTGGATCCATAACTGATGGACGTGGAGATGGAAGGGCACCAGAAGAAGGAGTAGGTAAGGAAATGAATTGAGTATTTAATGGTGGAGGAGCATTAAATTGAATAGGAGGACCAGTAGGTATTGAGGCACGCTAAAAATAAAAATATGATTATTTGAAATGAGAGTCCAAGAAAACCCAAGGATTTGGACAGTCCAAAAATCCAAGGACCATTAGACCAGTTAAGTAACTTTGACATGAAGAAATTAGACTACATAGTCACAGATTGACCGAAAATCTTCCGAATTTTGGTTAATTTTTGGAATAGAGCAGGTTCAAGTTATTATAAAAACAACGAATTTACCTAACTAAACCTATAATGTTTATACATTATAGATAAGGTTACGTATTTTGACACAGAGTGCATCCCCCAACCTATTCAATCACAAAAAAAAACAGACTTCCCTCAAATCTGCTTACCTCTTATGTTAGATAACATTTTACTCAGAAGCCTCTCCTACTCCCACATTTCCCACTAAAATATAAAAATCCAAACTGTATATTCATTCGCAGATTTCAAAAAACAACGAGAACTACCACTAGTTCCAGGTTTATCTTCATCACCCATTTCCATATCATCACCATCCCCAGCCAATTCTTCACCATCAACATCATAAACAAAAGGATCATCACCAGCTGTAGGGGAAGGAGCATCTCTAGTAGGTGATTCGCCTAACATACATACTGAACTTTCCATTGTTTCTAATTGCTCTTTAGTCTTTTTAATTCCTTCAGTAAAACGTTCATAAGCCTAAAAGTTCGGGAAATAAAAAATTTTTTATTAGCGAGAAAAATTTGGAAAAATTCGTTTTATTATTTCGGAAACCGACTCAAAATCAAGGCTCGTTGAATTAAATGTGAATCGAATGACACCAAAATTATTCACTCTAAAAAACAAACATAACAGGCTAGAGACTTCCAAGCCTCTTGGTCTTGAGTATTGACTCAAAACTTTTCATTGGGCTTTTTCGGTCATGGTCTTTGGGTGGAGTCTCTGTCTCGACATGTTTGGGTTTCTCTAAACTTACACCCTAGGATTGAACTTTATTTGGTCCTTATTTTATTTCCAGAATGGAAGAAATCTGATCTCTTGGCCTTTTAAAATCCTCAAAGATTTCGTCTGCGGCGATGGAAAAGCAAGAATGATGGCTTCTTGTCATTTCAAAATTCTCAAAATTTTCGCCTGCTGACATGTGTAAAAAAAGGAAAACTTTTTCTCAACGTTTTTAAAATAGAACTTTCACTTTCGATTTTTACACTAAAAAGAAGAGTTAGAAATCGAAATTTTCGGTTCCAAAATACCAATTATTTGGATTTTGATTATATTTCATAGTCTTCGATATTAAATGACTCGTGTCGAAGGCACAAAAATTAACCAGAAATCTAGCCTATGGAACCAAAATAATTCTCTAGTCTTGTTAGTTTTTTTTTGGCCTTGAGTCTTTGGGTCAGGTCTTGGGATCTAGTCTTGGTCTTGAAAATTTTCGGTCTTGAAAGTCTCTAGTAAGAGAAACAATTGAATGTAATTTGTTTTTTTTTTCATTCTGAACTTTTCCAAAAAAAAAAGACCTGAACAACAAGCGCAGCAGTAGGCTTCGGTTTCAGTAGCGATTGCTTTTGTATTGGTTTAGAATGAGACGAGACTGAATGTAATTCCATTCCAGAACGGCGAACGCCTGTCACACATCTTTTTATAACACCTAAAAAAATTTCAAAAATTTTCTAAAAAAATTTTTAGATTTTAAAAAACGTTGTTCTCTCAAATTATTATGCACTTCCAAAACATTTTTAGCTCTTTTTGAGTTACTCTCTCCAGTAGGTATTTTAATATGATAAATATCATGACGATCTGGAGCTATCGATAAAACTGGTTTTGTGGGGCTAAAAACATCCTCCTCTTCCAGCATTAGAATATCATCTTGAAAAATTTTTTCAAGAAAATTTTTTACAAAAAATACCATCAACATAAGCATCATTTTGGTGAACAGTACGTGCTGGAGGAGCAGGAGGAGGTGCAACCGTCTTTTTTGGTGGAGGAAGAAATTCAGGCGGGGTTCCATCACAATAATTTATATAGCTGATTATGGCTAGCTGAAAAAATTTATTTTCGTTTAAAATACCAAAGATGGGTCAAGCTAACCGTTACGTAAAACTCGTATTCTCTTCCGAACCTAAACTCTATACAAAGAAAACTTTGAAAATGAACCCAAAACCCGTCTTTTTTCCTCAGCCTTGTCCGCCCCTGGTAATCACCCATCAACTACCCGTTGGTCTTGCTCACTTCCATATCAGTCCCATTCCCTGGCTATTTTTCCATCAACTATCCTTCGGTCTGGCTTCCTTCCACATTAGTCCAATACCCTGCTATTTTCCCCTACCCCAAAAAATTTAAAAAAATTAACCTGATCTCCCAGTGCACTAATGCCCAATTCTTTAAGGTCATCCTTTCCTGAAAATTTTTTTATAAATTAGAAATAAAAAATATATATAAACCCAAATCACGTAGCAAATTGGGCTGTATTCTTTGCTTGACAAATGTAGAAGCATACTTTTTCCTCAATTTTGTAGGTAGATCACAGCATGCTTCAAAGAACTTTTCCCATTTTTTAATTTGATCTGCACCTCCTTTTTCTTCTTTACCATTTTTAACTTTTTTTGTCGAGGAGCGTTGTTTTTTGTGTTCTTTCTCAAAAACTTTAAAGACCTCAAGATGTTTAATGCTGCTACGTGGTTCCCAGGTATCTAAAAATTTTTGGCTCTTATCCAGATTAAGCGTCCCATAAGTTTTTTTTTGATACAAAATGTTTGGAAAGTGGAACTAACTTCGGATGCATAAAATGGACAAGGGCCATTTATGTTATAAATTAAAAAATTTTTACTTGATTCATCCGAGTACCCCTCCCATTTTACTAAAAACTCTTCACGACCATTTTCAATTTTTCTTTCCAAAATGCTTTCAACAAAATACTTAAATTTAAAACATTTAGCCTTTTTAATAAAATATATAATTATTATCCTGACCTCTTCTTCTTCTTCCTCTTCAAGTTGTATCTCCCAATTCTTCAAACTCACTATATTCGTCCATTAACTTTAAAATCTAAAAATTCGTTAGATATATAATTTAAATAGATATTTATAAATATTATGATGAAAGACATGGTTATATAAAAATATATTTATATATTTATCATTAATAAAAGATTAATAAAAAAATTTTTGTTGTTGTTAACATGTAGTCAAATGAGAAAATGTAGCAGTAAGGGAAGCGATTGTACAATCCTATAAATAGAAAAAATAGTTCATAGGAAAACATTTTATTTGCAATAATTTTAATAAGTTTTATAAGTTTTTACGAAGTTATGAGAAATGCCCCATTTTCACTTTTTACTCATAAACCACTTGGGTTTAATGAAAAAATGTGTGCTAAACATTCTGCACCATAGATTTCACAAACACGAAAAGTTTTATTAAAGATAAAAAAAACCTAAATAACACAACCATATAAGACAGTCAATGTAATAGTAAACCAACATCACAAAAATTGACAGATTGAGTTTCCGAAGTGATCTAGAAAGCCCTAAAGATTCAAAAGAATGTTTAAATGATAACCAGTCCAAGAATCAGCTCATATTAGAATTTATCAAAATTCTAAAAAAAAGGTAAAATTATTTTTTAATATGAACAGATCCTCACAAATTCATCATCCTCTCCATTAACAAGTCTAACAAATTCTGTAACAATAGCATACAACATTTGTGCATGTTTTCGTTTCCTTGAAAAAGTTGGCACCACCAATGTCAAATTTACGGAGTCCGCGCATTTTTGCAAATTATTGGAAGAAGGCGATATGTCTTTAATAAAATTGAATTTATTATAAATCGGGATCTGCATAAAATGCCAGTAAAGAAACATGAAAATTGTATAGAGCCTATTAAGGCTATAAATTGAAAAAATACTCTAAGGAAAGATTACTAAAATTATTCAAGTCTAATTCGTGTTATCTATGGAAAAAGTAAATTCGTTCAATATCCTAATAATAAATTTTAAAAATTAAAAAAAATATTATTTTTCTGTTAAGTTGTGGAAAAAGAAAAGGAAAAAATAAAAATCGGAATCAATAAAATTAGAACTCATATTCGAACTCATGTCAGTACACCCACTTACACCCTGTCAAACCTCTAAAATATCGAAGAGAGCTTCTTCCTCATTATTTTCTAGATAGGCAAAAAAATGAAAAAAGGTGTAACATATGTATAAAAAAATATTTAGATTTTCCTACCCATATAATCTTCTAAAGGATGTTCCATCCGATCACAATAAGCAACATAAGAACACCGAAAATTATGATAAGGTAATTCTGGTGTAGATAAAGGTAATAAAGCATAATCAGCAATTAAAGGTGGATTGTTAAACTTCTTTGAATTTCGGGAAAATAATGTTTTAATGTTGAAAGTAATTCTAATGTCAAGTCATTTGTTTTATTCCATCCAGTTTTCGAAGAAATAAATGAAGAACAGCCATTGGATTAGAAGAAAAGGATTTTGTGCCACCAGGACGGTCTTCCCAACCTATTTGGATCTATAAAAATTTTTTAAAAATTACTGAAAAATTAAATATTTCCCAAGAAATATTTTAAAAATCCATTATCTATAAAAGTTTGGAAAAATTTTTTAAAAACAAATTTTAAATATGCAATCTGTTCCTGTTGTAGTAATTCCAATTTTGTAAATTATGTATCTTTATAAATAAAAAATACTTTTGAAGAAAAATGATTGAAATAATTCAAATATTGAAAAAAAAGGTTTAAAAAATCGTTGTATCTTTTTTTGGTTTTTTAATTAAATGGAAGGATAGAAAACAAAATGTTTATGTATATATGTAATTAAAGGGGTAAATTTAAAAAAAGTTCATCTTCTTGGGAAAAAATGGCAAAAAAGCAAAAGAATTTGCATAATTTCTATGAAGAAAGAGAGAGACGTTTAGAGGGGGTGGAGCCAAAAAAACAGTTGCAGGCACTTTCCCTAAGACTCAAAGAGAGAGAAAATTGCCAACGACGGGGACGTACAAACAACGACTAGCCTGTTGTTATAACTACTATCGTCCCCTCCCCCTCCAAATTGTTGCTTCCAAACAAATTCATTTATATAACTTTCAAATGTCGTTTCTGCTGTTCCAAATTCAGTTTTACATCTCTTCAGTTTTTGCCACAGTTTTACCACAAGCTCAGTTTTTGCCACAAGCTTTGCGTGTTGTATTTCAAAAAAATACCGGAACTAGAACAGGAACTTCCGGTAAAACTAAAATAAGGGTACGAAATAGCGAAACGAAATTTCGATCAACCCTGATTCAAACCTTTCGCAATGCACTTTCCTTTAATTTAGACATGCACTTTTATTTTTTATTATGAAATGTAAAATAATTTTCCCAATGTATTTTTCTCCATATTAATTATTTAAATTAATTAAAATTAAAAATTTATCATTTTTGGCTAATTAGTAGTAAATAAAATTTTATTTTAAATAAATTTTTAAAATTGATTTATGATGAAACTTGATAATATTCTAATAATTTTAACATTCAACGCGATTTTTTGGAGTTTAATTAATTCTGTTAAAAACAATAAAAATCAAAATGAGATACCTAGAAATGGAGAAACCTCAAAGGACAACGATAGGGCAGAATCATCGGTTAATCCTCAAATTCAAAAAGCTGAGGCGTTAAAACCAAAACATACAATTTCAAGAGGTACTTTTCCGTTTGGAAGCAGGCCAAGGTACCGCAAGCCCAAGGTAACGCAGAGCTATATCTTTGTTCAGAATTGTCGAATCCGGGACGCCCTGGTATGATTCGATGCGCTGAGACGGGCCTAATCGAACCAGACCAGGGCATACCGGATTCGGCAATTTTAAACAAAGTTATAGCTCTGCGGGTACCTTGGGCTTGCGTAACTTGGCCTGCTTCCTAATAATAAAATACCCAACTATAGATAATAAAGGAAAGCGTAATAGAAGTGAATATATGAAAATTTACAGACAAAACAATAAAGAAAAGTTGAAAGAAGATAACCGAAAATACCGAGAAGCTAATAAGGAAAAGAGGCGGGAATCTGGTCGAAAATACCGAGAAGATAATAAGGAAAGGTTGAAAGAATCTAACCGAAAATACCGAGAAAATAATAAGGAAAAGTTGACTGAATCTAACCGAAAATATAAACAAAATAATAAAGAAAAGAGACGTGAAGCTGATCGAAATTATTCCCAAAATAATAAAGAAAAGAGGAAAGAATATTTCCAAAATTATCGAGAAAAAATGAAAAATAAAAAGGAAAACTTAAAAAATGTTGATCCGAAAGTAGGCTTGCGTGTTGTATTTCAAAAAAATACCGGAACTAGAACAGGAACTTCCGGTAAAACTAAAATAAGGGTACGAAATAGCGAAACGAAATTTCGATCAACCCTGATTCAAACCTTTCGCAATGCACTTTCCTTTAATTTAGACATGCACTTTTATTTTTTATTATGAAATGTAAAATAATTTTCCCAATGTATTTTCCTCCATATTACTTATTTAAATTAATATAAAAAATTAAAATTTATCATTTTTGGCTATTAGCAGTACATAAATTTTATTTTAAATAAATTTTTAAAATTGATTTATGATGAAACTTGGTAGTATTCTAATAATCCTAACACTCAACGGTATTTTTTGGAGTTCAACTAATTCTGTTAAAAACAATAAAAATCAAAGCGAATTACCCAGAGTTGGGCAAACCTCAAAGGACAACGATAGGGCAGAATCATCGGTTAATCCTCAAATTCAAAAAGCTGAGGCGTTAAAACCAAAACATACAATTTCAAGAGGTACTTTTCCGTTTGGAAGCAGGCCAAGGTACCGCAAGCCCAAGGTAACGCAGAGCTATATCTTTGTTCAGAATTGTCGAATCCGGGACGCCCTGGTATGATTCGATGCGCTGAGACGGGCCTAATCGAACCAGACCAGGGCATACCGGATTCGGCAATTTTAAACAAAGTTATAGCTCTGCGGGTACCTTGGGCTTGCGTAACTTGGCCTGCTTCCTAATAATAAAATACCCAACTATAGATAATAAAGGAAAGCGTAATAGAAGTGAATATATGAAAATTTACAGACAAAACAATAAAGAAAAGTTGAAAGAAGATAACCGAAAATACCGAGAAGCTAATAAGGAAAAGAGGCGGGAATCTGGTCGAAAATACCGAGAAGATAATAAGGAAAGGTTGAAAGAATCTAACCGAAAATACCGAGAAAATAATAAGGAAAAGTTGACTGAATCTAACCGAAAATATAAACAAAATAATAAAGAAAAGAGACGTGAAGCTGATCGAAATTATTCCCAAAATAATAAAGAAAAGAGGAAAGAATATTTCCAAAATTATCGAGAAAAAATGAAAAATAAAAAGGAAAACTTAAAAAATGTTGATCCGAAAGTAGGAAATATTCATTCTGATAATAATGAAGGAACTTCTTTTGTTAATACACAGAATAGTGATGTTAGAAATAAGGGTAAATTGCCAATCATTTACGAAGAGAGAATTCAATTTGAAATAGACCCATCTAATCAAGAGGAGGAAGAAAGTAAAAAAGGCGAAACAGAAGCTCATAGTGGTGAGCAAAATCAAACGGTGGTAGAAGAGCCAAATAAAATTTCAGGGAATTGCACGAATCACATAAATTTAAATGAGTATCCTTTTGATTTAAACGAGAAACCTGAAGATAACGATGAAAATGTTTGCTAGAAAAGATTCGAAGAAAGAAAATTTTAAAAATTTTTCAAAGAGGAGCAAATAAAGAATTTCATTTACTTTAAAGTTATAAAATGTTTTTGCTGAGTCCGTTTTAATTAGATTCCAGACTTGGTAATGGACATGGATTTTGGTATCCGTATCCGGATATTACGACGGATACAGACGGATATCCGCAGGCATTTTGAACTTATTTGTTCCATATCCATTACCAAGCTGTTAGATTCTGTCGTTGTCCGTGATGAATTCTGCTTGCACTAATTTTATTAACTATAAATTTAAAAAATATTTTTTCTGTCTGTTTTAATTAGATTCTGTGCTTGCGCGGTGAATTCGCAATTCTACGCAATATCATTTAGAAAATCCAATTTTTCACCCCAAAATTGTGCTTACCCCCCTATGGTTCTTCGGTTTTATGGACCTATATACGGCTAGTAGGCATTTCCGTAGATGGTATGACCATTTCCGTATGGCATCATGTATATACGTGGTACCATTCGGCGTGCAGCCCTACCATCATACCACCAGCCTCCCCCCCCCCTCCCAAATAGCTAAAGTAAATAGAGACCATTTCAGCTTTATTCAATCTTTGATTTTTAATTTATTTTTATAAGCGTTACTCTCGCCTAAGCTGATTAAATTCACTAGTTGAATCATCCTTATTGTGTTTATTTTGTGTTAACTATCTGAGTTGTTGCAAAAATAAATAAAATTGGAAGGTTTATAAACAAAGGGATAGCAAAATTTATTATTAAAAACTAAGAATCAAACCCACTTTTATTATTTTCACTTGTTTTTATAATCTTTCCCTTAGAAAAATGCTCAAAATTCTAATACTAATCTGTTTAATAATCAAAACCCATTCATGGACTTGGAATGATTATCCATCCCCTAGAGGACCAGATTATTCAAAATGTGGTGTCTCAAAGCCAACTTGGGTTTGTGATCCTGATGGATTGTTAACTGATCAAGAGAGGGAAGAAATTGTTGATTTAGTTGAGGATTTTAAAGAAAAAACTAAAAGAGTAAGGAGACTATTTAACTTTCCTAAACAAATTTTTATAGCCAAATTCAATAGTTCCGTGTATGAGAGAAGGACTTAGACTTATTGTGGCTCTATCAAATGTTGAAATTGGTGATGACAATATTACCTCCGAAATAACAGTAGGTTTTTACATCAAACCAACCAATATCCTTTTACTGTAGCGAGCCAACTTTCCTCATTATCCTCTAAATCCGAACCCAAGATAGCTGTATTATACTATCCAATTCCTTTAATATTCACTATGATTCTCCAAATTCACATATACATACCTATTCCGCTTAAGAACCACCTTTTTCTGTAGGGAGCCAACTCTCGTCAGTACCATCTTAATCCGAATATATCCCTAGATAGTCCCTTAAACTCCAGATATCTGTCATCATACTATCCAATTTCTTCGAAATCTACTATACTCTCCCATATTCCACTTAATAGCCAGAAATCCCCCCTAATGCAACCATAAACCCGATGCCACTCTAAATCTTCAAAATACCGATGCATCAAAATACCGATAAATCTTCAAAATACCGATGCTTTTAGCACCTATAGCACCGATGCCATCGTTTAATCACCCATAAAAATCCCCCATAACTCATAAAAATTAATACCCCATACAAAATCGAAAATAATCGAATTTCGAAACGATGATTATCCACCCTTAGAGGTGGTCTAATTTTAAATACAGTATGCGCATAGATTTTTTCGGATACGGACTTATAGGTTTAATGTTGAACCATTGCTAATTTAAGCCTTACACTGATAAAATATGATTTGATAAAATGATTTAATTTTATTATAAAGCATTTGTGCGAAAATGAAAGAAGCTGGACGTCATTTGATAGAAAAGAATGCGACTCACAATTACAGGGAATTGAAATGAGTAGACATGGTTTTCAACATTGTAATTCCATAAAGTGGTTAATGCTTCTTATTAGAGAGGAATATCAAAATATCTACAATGATGAGGTGAAATTAAAAAAATTAATGATAATCCAGCCAAATATGTCTTGTAAAGTACACCCTAGAGACATTCCCAGAAGCCCTACTCCCTAAAAACCTTTGACACAAAAGACCTACACCTCGAAGGGGACACGCCCACATTGTCGCGCAGCCACATTGTCGCGAGCCATAACTAGCTAAAAAATTTCTGGCCCTTATCAATATTGGTATTAAACTCTTTAGCTCGATGAGAGGAATCGTTTAATACTAAATTTGGAAAAATTCGGAAATCTTAAAGCAAGTTATGGCTCGGCGACAATGTGGCCGCGCGACAAAGTGGGCCGTACCCACCTCGAAGACCTATTGACTGAGAAGACAAACAAATTTTGAAAAATATTTAGGTTGTTGGTTGCCGAGTTTACCTCCACGCCGAAGAACTATAGGGTGTTGACCTTTAGGAGGGGAGTCGGCTGTGTTTTGGTAAAACTATGTTTTTCAGACTGTCTTCTGTCTGGACTTTATTTTGGAAGACTGAGTTTTGCCTCTCACTCGTTGACCTTCTTGGAGTTGACCTCGTTTACTTTTGTAGATTGCTATTTGTTTAACTATGAGCTTTTTCTTCTATTCAAACGTGTACCTTCTTCCCCAAAACCATTTTCTCATTATTATTTGCTTTCAACATGTTTGAATGGCACCTCCTCAATCATATTCAAAAATTCCTTTCTGCCAAACCGACATTTCCCCCTGAATATTCAAATAAACGTCAATCATATTTATAATTCCAATTTTTTCTAGCATTTTTGCCTTTCAATAAGCATATAAGAAGACCTCCCATTCATATTTTCTCTATTAATTTTATTAAAAACCCTTCTTAAATATAAATAAGCTTCATGTGGATTATTTATATGTGGATGTGTATTTTTTTCCATTCATATGTTGACTTATTTTTATTTTTTCCACTAGAAAAATGCTCAAAATTTTAATTTAATTTGTTTAATAATCAAAACCCATTCATGGACTTGGGAAGATTATCCATCCCCTAGAGGACAAAATTATTCGAAATGTCGAGTTTCAAAACCAACTTATCTTTGTGACCCAGATGGAATGTTAACTGATCAACAACGAGATGTAATTGTTGATTTGGTTGAGGATTTTAAGGAAAAAACTAAAAGAGTAAGGAGACTATTTAAATTTTATTTTCCCGCCAATTTTAATTTTATAGCCAAATTCAACTTTTCCCTGTATGAGAGAAGGACTCAGACTTGTTGTGGCTTTAGCAAAAGATAAAGTTCGTCCTGACGATACCTCCTCTGGAATAACCGTATGTTTTTAACGGATTTCTTTGGTTTTTGCCAAGTTCGTTTGCGAATTTCAAAACTGATTACTGTAAAATTCAACCGTTGTTTCTGCACATACAGAACAATAAGATTGAATTTAAAAAAACAATTTAATCTGATTAAATTATGTAGAATTTGTGCATGAATGATAGAAGATGGACACCAATTGATACAACAAGCAGTGATTCATCTGTACACGGAGTTGAATTAAATACAGATGGTTTTCGCTATTGCTATTGTGCATTTTCGTTTATTGTCCTTAATAAAGAAGAATATGAAACGCTCGGCAAGGCATGGGTAGAAATTTAAAAAATTTGGCGGTAATAGTTTCGAATTCGCCCCCTTTTTTCAGAGTTTCCCTGACCATTTTGAGCTTTTTTTGTGTGAACATAATTTATCATATATCATTCGAAAAAGCTCTTCGATTATGGTCGAATGATACCATGTTTGGCTAGATTGAGCATTCTTACCAAAATTATGAAGCTAAATCCCATTTGGGTAAATTTTTTGTGTCAATGCAAGTGGATAAAATAAACGGTCACAACTTTGTTCGCTTAAGTCAGATTTCGTTGATTTTAATGTCATTCGACTCAGCATGAAGAGCTCTTTCGGATGATATATAATTTGCCATAAAATGAGAAGAAATAAGGAAAAATATAAAGGAAAAAAGGGTGGCGAATTCCAAACTATTACCAATTTGGCTAAGTTATTCATATCAAAAAATGTTTTTATTATTTATTCTAGAAAGATAATGTCAACAATAAAAACTATTTTGATGCCCTAAAAAATTATATTGAAATTTTACGAATGCTTTACTTTCACCGCTTCTCAATTTTCGATGATCCTGATTTTTCTAATAGAGATAACAAGATAAAAATATTAGAAGTACAGCATTCCTTGCAAGATACCAAAAAAACAATGGCAGAAATGCAGCAATCACTTGATCAACAAAACAAAAAATCTTCTGGTTTTCAAACAGCTATAGAGAAGAATAAGAAAAGAATATCAGAAATGCTTATCGAGAAAAATATAACTACGTCCTTATATTGGAGATATGGAATAATATCAATCATCTTTTGTTTGATTATTGGCCTGTGCTTTCATATTTAATTTGTCGTATTCGCCGACTTGAAAATTATTTTGATCAGAGGAAGGCTTTAAATATTGATATGGAAGAACTAATGGCAAGAGAACGGTAAAATTAAAACTTCTCAAATAAATTCGAAATACCGCATTTCTTCACATAGAGCACCACCCTCAATAGAGCCCCACCCTCCAATACAGCCCCACCATGGAGGATAGTTCAAAAATAGAGCCCCATGAGGCTGTATTTGAAGAAATACGGTATTTTGAGAAGGGCTAGAAAATCAAATTCTGGAGATCAGAACCCAGGAAGTCAAAGATCAAGAAGGTCAAATCCAAATATTTGGGGAGATAAAGAAAGATTTGTGCAGATTAAGACGGACTTTTGGGTATTAAAAGAGATTCTGGTGGATTTAACGGATTAAGAAGGATTTGCTTGGATTAAAGGAGATTAAGAGACATGAGAATGAAATTTTCTTGCCAACTGTCGGATAAGGCAAAAGGAAGAAAGAAAACGTATTCTTGATACTGATTAACCCTTATCCACCCAAATATTTGGATTGACCTTCTGGTTTGACTAATAGGAACTTGACCTTCTGGGTCAGTTGACCTTCTGGGTCATGACTTCTGGGGTGACCCCAAATTCTGGCCTATAATACCCCAAAATTTTTAGTGCACTCCATTTGCGATAGAGTCCTCCTTATTGTGTCTCAGTTAGATTTAAACAGTTTACTATTAGTAGGATTAACGGGGGCATCGGTGGCTGATTGGTAAAGAAGACTACCACAACATACTTCTGTTTGCTCCTCATACTCCCCATGAGTTTTTTTGGCAATAAAGGTCTACGGGGAATTTTACGAGTTTTAAAAACTTAGTCTTTTTAAAAAATCTGGATTTGATCAAATATTTTTATTTTTCGACTTACTCAAAATAAAGTTTTTTCAAATAATTTAGAGTTCTGACACCAATAGAACCTGATGAAGTTATTGAAAAGAAAGAAAAATAAAAAGGAACACTAAGAAAAGTTCAAAAACTTCATTAAAACTTTAAATTTTTTTATATACAGTCGGACATCCCTATAATACATATACTCCTTTGGGAGTTGTAGTTTGGTTTACCGTGACGAGCTGAATCAAATAATATCAAAGTAAGCCCGATGTCTCATGTCTGAGCTTAGACAAATGGGCTCAAAATGGTCAAAGCAAACCTATGGGGGTAGTCGTTGCCGTAATTTGTTCAAAATAACAAAATCATGCTGATTTTGGTACATTCGACTCAGCTCGCTGAGATCTTCTTAGATCGGTGAATAGGAATGGGTGTATAGGGAAGTCTGACTATGCCAATTTTGTTTAATTATTTTTTACCATAATTCATTTACCCTATTTGTTTAAATACTTATAAACTTGAACTTGTTTAGTTTTTCATTGAATAGGTTGGGGAATAGCTAGGATTGAATAGGAGGGGGAATAGGGAAACGTATTCTTGATCTTAAATCCTTTATCAGCCCAAATATTTAGGTTTTTGTTTGCCGAGTTTAACTCCACGCCGAAGAACTATAGGGGTTACGCCAAGAACTATAGGGTGTTGACCTTTAGGAGGGGAGTCGGCGGTGTTTTGGTAAGCTGTTTCTCAGACTGCCTATTGTCTGAACTTTATTTTGGAAGACTGAGTTTTGCCCCTCACCTGTTGACCTTCTTGGAGTTGACCTCCCTTACTGTTGTAGATTGCTGTTTGTTTGCCTTACTACATGACTTTTTTCCAATATTTAAACTTCCTCTTCCCTAAAACCATCTTCTCATTATTATTTGCTTCCAACATGTTTGAATGGCACTTCCTCAATCATATTCAAAAATTCCCTTCTGCCTAACCGACTTTTCCTCCTACATGTTTAAATAACTGTCAATCATATTTATAGAACCAATTTTTTCCAGCTTTATTTCCCTGTCTATAAGCATCTAAAGACCTCCTCCTATTCATATTGTTCGCTTTAATTTTATTAAAAATCTTTCTTAAATATAAATGAACTTCATGTCGATTTGAGAGACAAATATAAAATACAGTAAATTCTAATAGAGCCCTGTGCCTTTATTTTTCAATGGATCTACTTTAGGGTTGGGCCCGGTATCGAGCTTTTCGGGCCAGTCTTTGGCGAAATGACCCGATCAGCCCCTCGCTAGACCGATTAGCAACTTATTCGCTAGCCCCGATCAGCACCTTATTAGACCCGATCAGCCCCTCGCTAGCCCCGATCAGCACATTATTAGACCCGATCAGCTCCTCGCTAGTTCCGATCAGCAACTTATTCGCTGGCCGCGATCGCAGATTATTAGCACGATCAGCCTCTCGCTAGCCCCAATCAGCACCTATTATTAGACACGATTGGCCCCTCGCTAGCTCCCAGCAGGACCGATAGCACCTTATATTATAGACCCGATCAGCACCTTATTTTCATATTTTATAGTTGAAAAATGTTCAAGTTTCTTATAATTATAAGTTTAATAAGCAAAATTCATTCATGGACTTGGTATGATTATCCACCGCCTAGACATAGTTATTATACATGTGGAGGTTGGTATCCAAGCTATGTTTGTGATCCTGATTTCATGATAAATAGTGATCAACGAGAAGAAATTGTTCGATTGGTTGAGGATTTTAAGGAAAAAACTAAAAGAGTAAGGAGAATATTTAAATTTTATTTTCCCGCCAATTTTAATTTTATAGCCAAATTCAACAATTCCTTGTATGAGAGAAGGACTTAGACTTGTTGTGGCTTTAGCAAGAGATAAAATCGGTTATGATGATATTTCCTCAGGAATAACTGTATGTTTTAATGAGCTCTTATCTAATGTTTTATAAGGGTGGTAAATTTTCAAAGCCACCAAAATAAGGAACAGCCACTTAAAAATAGGTTAAAAATATGGTAAAATTGGGCAAAATATTAAAAAATCAAATCATGGATATAAAATCATTGATTTCATTCATGGATATTCAATCTTCTTATACCCATTATATTTTTTCAACCATCCCGCCAAAGCTCAAAAGAGGCTTAAAATGGTCAACCAAACCTATAAGAGTCAGCGGGATTCCGCAAATCCCTTCGCATGGGGAAGTCAACCGTTGCTTGGGTTGACTCCCAGCGAGAGATCAATAAACATCCATAATCCCTCAAAATCCTCCTGTTATCTTTCTAAATCTCCTCCAAATACTCTATATCCAGGATATTCCTTCAACTATCCCTCCAAACCTTTATATTACAAAATAGATACGGCAATCGCTGACATTTAGTGATATATGACATTTAATTACTAAATGACAATAGCTAACATTTAGTGACATTATGTACATATTAAGGAAAAATAGAGGATAGACGTCCGCAATTTTTAGCAAAAAGTACCTTTTTTTATTTTTAAGGAAAAGTAGTACATTACTGGAAAATGCATAACTTTTAGACAATTTAGTCAAAATTTTTGATTTTTTGGTAGACTATAGTTAACATTCCAATTTACCGTATTATCTCTAATACAAGCCCTTGGCGTCTATTTTTCAATACCCATCCCTGAGTGGGCATTAATAGGGCATGGGCTTCTATTGGAGATGGGCTTCTATTAGAGACAATACGGTATATATTTTTTGAAAAATTACATCTTTATCTGAATTTTAAAAAAAGTTATCAATTTTTTCCATAATAAGGAGAATGAGAAGCGGGTAGCGATGCCAATGTCAAGTGTAGTGTCAAGTTCCGCTACCCGAGTAACCCAGCCCTTGAATTTATTCACGTCCCTTGGGAAGGACCAAATAAGTGTCCAATCATTTTGTAATCTGTGTGCATATTTTGCCCAGTAAAGTTGTCGGATATTTAAAAGTCGTTTTAATTCCATATTATAGAATTTGTGCTTGAGCGCTAGATTATTGACATTATCTGATACAACAATTTGTAATTCGGATTTACACGGAATTGAATTAAATTCAAAAGGCTTTTCTTATTGCCATATGTTACATTGGGAAATGATCCTCAATAAAGACAAATATCAAACGCTTAACAATGAAGGGGTAAGAAATTAAAAAATTCTGCCGCAGTAAATACTAGTGTTGACCGGGATCGGGCGGGATTATCCAGGGTTTTTCGAATCACGATTTTTCTTATCCCGAGCCCGAACGGGATCTCCAGTCCAAATCCCGATCCCGATTTCGGTCAATCCCGATCCCGTGTCGGGATCCGGGATCGGGTTCACCATTCCAAAATCACGATCCCAGGTTTTTCTCTAAATCCTGATACCGGCCAACCCTAGTAAATATATGTCCCAGTTCAAATTACATTCTTGTCCGAATTGCATTTGGCCGACCAACCCCCAACTTGGGACTGAAGTTCTTCATGTTTGGGACCTATGCCCACCTGGTTTGGGACCGTTTCTGAAAGCTATAGCCAACTTTTTACTTACAGAAAAAACGCTTATAACTTAAAGAAATTTCTAAAGATAGGGTAAGGAACGGTCCCAAACCAGGTGGGCGTAGGCCCTGAACAAGAAGAAGTGTTAAGTTCTGTTGCCAAATGAGTCCCCAAGTGTCATTTGGTAACAGACCTGAAATTCGATTTTTAACATACAATATATAGAATCAACAACTCAACAATAATAATCATTTTGATGTGCTCAGGGATTATATTATAAAATTACAAATGCTTTACATTCACCGCTTCTCAATTTTCGATAATCCTGAGGTTTCTAAAGAAGATAAAATTTCACAATCAGACTTCCACCAACCCTTGCAAGAGGGTCAAGGGGACATAACTTTATCTCAATTACGTGCAGATATAGAGGAGAATAAGTTAAAATTATCAGAAATGAGAGATCGACAATCTTCTAAAAATTTGTGAGTTTTAAATCTTATTTGTTAAAAGATAGACTCCAAAAACACTATTTGCGTCCAGAAAACTTCATGCGTCCAATGAAAAGTCTGCGATTTAAGCATGCGTACCATAACTTTAGATGAGTAGAAATTTTTGTTACTTTAGATTTTATGGTGCTAAACTAAACCTAAAGGATGGTTGGTCTATTTGCCAGCTGCATTAAGTGTATGTGTACCAGGGGTGTGCCAAAAGTGATTTTAAAAAGCGAAAGGCGAAATTGCGAAAGTCATTTTAAAAAGCGAACGGCGAAAGACGAAAGTCCAAAAAAGGCGAAAATCGGCGAAAGGCGAAGGACGAAAGGCGAAATTTTTTAGTCTCCGCTATGACTCTGAGATTCTTTGGTCAAATAATTTAAAAGCCTTGTTAAGTGTTCCAAATCTACAGATAACTTTCTTAAATCAATAAATCGGGGATATCAGGGATCTGTAGGATTAAGAAGGATATTAGAAGAGTTGGAGGAATATCGGGGATTTAAAGGAAAGTTAGAGGATATGTCAGGAAAAATTTGACTTTGATTTTCTATTTTCCGATCTCTAGACTTCTCCCTTCGTTGTCTTGAAAAGGGTATGAGAATCCTGGGAAATCCCTGGATCCTGATCCGAATGTCTGGAATATTCGGATGCCGAATAGGAAGAATTCTAGATTTATTTATTTTTAAATAAACCATTGCTCCAAATAGTCTGAATGACCATAGGTTCGCTAAAGTAGGTACAGTTACGGAACGGTTACACCCCCAACGTACCGCAAGGCCAACGTATCGCTGAGCTATAACTTTGTTCAAAACGGTCGAATCCGTGACGCCCTGATATGGTTCGATTCAGCCCGTCGAGATGCATCGAGGCATTCCGGATTCGACTATATTGAACGAAGTTATAGCTTTGCGGTACGTTGGGCTCGCGGTACGTTGGCCGGCTCCCGTTACGGAACACCGGAACACTCCACCGAGATCAAATTTTCATTCCTTTAAAGCTGTAAATCCAAAGTTGAGGATGCCTTATTCCCTCTAATAGAACACTAAAAATTCTCTAAAGACCTTATCTAAAAGTAGCTTTTTACAATTTAATTGCAGTTATGGAAAAATATTAACCATATTTATTTGCTTGATACTTATATATCTATTTTATCGAATTCTCCGATTTGAACATGTTTTCAACCAGTGGAAGGATATGGAGAAATACGGTTCGTAAGGAACAAAAATCACAAGGAAAACTCTGAGAGCAAAAAAGGGGGATGACTTCAGGGTAATTTCAAGGCTGCCCCCCTTTTTATGTTCGCATGACCATTTTGAGATTTTTTGCTTGAAATATAATTTACAATATATCATTCGAAAGAGCTTTTTGAGCTGAGTAGAATGATACTATGATCGGATAGATTTAAAGATTTTGAACCAAATTATAAAACGAAATCCTCGATGGACATGCTTATTGTGATGTTGAAAGGGATTCAAACAAATGCCCATAACTATGTTTATTTAAGTCGGATTTCGTTGAATTTAGTACCGTTCGACTAAGCTTGAAGACCTCTTTTGAATGATATATAATTTGCTATAAAAAGTTTAAAAATCGAAAAAAATTGAAAGGAAAAAAGGGGGACCAGCCTTGGAATTACCGGCTTCAGTTGTATCTAATCATTTTAATAAGCTTTGGGTGGATTAAGGAGGAGGGTGGATTAAGGAGAAACAAGTCTAGGTCTCAATCCCATTTATTCAAAGACACAACCCATTATTGAATCATTAATAACCCATTTATTCGCCAATACGCTAACAAGGCTTATGTTACTGCGTGAGTAACCGAGCAAACGTTGATTCCGGGAGACGCGTGACACACCAAAGGCGAGACGCTAGGTGTTGCACAAACGTCCCCCGACTCCCATAGGTTTACTTTGACCACATTGAACTTGAGAATAAATGTTCGGAGACATAAACTGGACAAGTTCCAAGGAGGTGAATTGAGGTATCATGACGAATATAAAAGAATTAGTGGGGATTTCGGGAATACCAAATTTTTTAAAAATATCGGATTCATTAAAGCTTTTTTCCTAATAATTTAGAGTAATGACACCAATAGAGCCTGTTGAAATTATTGAAAAGAAAGTAAAATAAAGAGATGATCAAGTACGACTGTACCAATTTTGTCAAATCATTTTTTAAATAATCGTTTTGCTTGTACTAAAGATAAAAACCAAAACATATTTTTTGGTCCTCGTTTACTTGCTTTTCCTTTATCCAACATAATTTTTTTTCATGTCAGATTTAGTTTTGAGATAAAAATTTAAAATTATTTTCAACAGAGTAAAGCATCCAAAACTGATATACATAGAATTAATGACTACAGGATGTTGAGATTGTTAAAAGAATAATAATAAAGATGAAGAGCGCTGTGTCGAATGCCACCGAAATCAACGTAATCAGACGAGTTTTGACAAAGTTATGACATAAGGTTACCGACTCCGGTAGGTCTAAATAATGCCATAACTTTGTCAAAACTCGTCCAATTACGTTGATTTCGGTGTCATTCGACTCAACTCGACGAGCTCTTTCGAATGAGCTATCATTCGTATACTTTTTCGTCTTTTTGGTTTTTCGCCCCATGGTTGTTCAATTTTCAGGGGTCTGTATTTCAGTCAAATCAAGTCGGATTTTGTTGATTTTGGTGTCATTCGACACAGCTCGATGGGTTCTACAATTATTGTTCAGACTGACCATTTTTACATAATTTTCGAAAAAACTGACGGGGGGGGGGGGGGGGGGGGAACTAAATAAGTACCCCTGATTTATATTAGCGTCAATCGCTGGCCATTTGATGCTGAACCGAGTGATCTTATAGATCTTTAGCTCTCGCCTGTAAGTTGTTCAAGTTCTGCCAGATGAATCATCCTTATACTAGTTGTAATACTATTTGTGTTAACTACTAGTAGGTTGATTTATTGCAGCAAAAAACGGAAAAAAACCAAAACACACTTTATTTATAAACAAAGGATGGTTGATTGTAAAAAACTAAAAACTGAGAGCCATTCTTAGGGTGTAAAGGGGCAAATAAAAGCGAGTTTAGATAGGGCCAGACAATCTAATTTTAATTTTAATTAATTTTCATTTTTTTGTTACTTTAAAGTGAATATTCTATAATTTTGTTGATCTAATGTTCAAAATTCTTATTATAATCTCTCTAATAATCAAAACATGTTCATCCACTCGTGTGTGGACTTGGGATGATTATCCATCTTTTAGTGAAAATGGGAGATGTCATGTCTCAAAACCAACATATGTTTGTGATCCTGATAAACTGTTAACTGATGAACAGAGACAGGAAATTGTTGATTTAGTTGAGGATTTTAAGGAAAAAACAAAAAGGGTAAAAAATAATTTTATTAATATTTATGATTTGAGATCAACTTAGGAGATTAACACCTTATAGGTCTACGCCCTATCCCTAGTGTTCAATTGATCCTGGAGCAACTGGCCCTGGAGGTCAGCTCCAAAATTTGGACTGATAAAGGAGAATTTGTGGATAAGCGAGGATAGCGATAGACTAATGAGATAAGAGGGGATGAGATAAAGAAGGGATTAGATAAAGAAAGGATTATGGGGTGTAATTTACAGAAACAATAAATTCCCCGTTTCACTGCAATAATGCAAAATGGAGGAAGTTGACGTATTCGTGATTTTGAGTTTTATCTACCCGAATATTTGGAGCTGACATACAGTAGCAGTTTACTTTTAGGGAGTTATTATAACTCAAAGATGTTAACCTCCTAGGATTGTCCTATTGAGATAAATCCTTTAATTTTTTAGCCCAATTCAATAGTTCCTTGTATGAGAGAAGGTCTCAGACTTGTGGTGGCTTATGCAAAATATAAAATTACTGATAATTCTTCCTCTGGACGAACAGTAAGTTTTGGCACGCAAAGCCATACTAACTTCTAAATTTCTGGATTCTGCCTTATTCAGTATTAGACGATTCCTCTAATTGAACTAAAGAAGTCGGTTGAAGGCCAGAAACTTGATATGGCTTTGTGTCCTTGATAAAATTGTTCAAAATTGATAAAAATTTTGTCACTATAGGATTTGTGCTCAAGTTGGAGGTCCTCTGATAATACAATTTGCGATTCAGATATGCACGGAATTGAATTAAATGAAGATGGTTTTAGTTATTGCTATTCAGCATCACGTTGGTTAATGCCCCTTCGTAAATTTATTTATGAAGATCTTAGCAAGCTATATGTAAAACTTAATAAAATTTTTTAAAAATATTCCATTAATTATACCACATGTATCCGGGATCAGACATGGGCGAAACTCCAATTTTTTCGCACGAAACGAAACCTATATGTTATCATATAATTATTGGGACTACAAATTATGATCCAATTAGCCATCTGTCGTCTCTATTCCTGACAAAGTCGGGAATGTTTATTTATTTCTAAAGGATTACTAATACATGTAATCAATTAACACTTTCAGTATGTCAGAATAACAGCTAGAACTCATTATCTTGTAAAATATCATCTTAAAGACTTGGGCAATTTCTACAGAAGCCGATTCTCAGAATTCGACAACATTATTTCGAATGAAAATAACATAAAACTATCAGAAGTCCAACATTCGTTGCAAGATACTAAGAAAACTTTAGCAGAAATACAACAAACACTTGATCAGCAGAACAAAACATTGACTAATTTTCATGTAGCAATAGAAGAGACTAACAAAAAATTATCGGAGATTAGACAATTATTAACACAAGATCAAATGATTAATGGGAAAAATATAACTATGGAGGAAGAAAAGGAATGATGATGAAAAAATTAAATGATTATTAAACTCTTAACTTTATCTAATACATTCGAAGTTTACTATATAATACATTATTAGTGTTAAAAAATTATTTTATCCTATTAAGAGTTGTATCTTAAAAATGATGGAGGGAGGGGCCATACATCATGATCATAAATGATCATGATGTATGGCTGCCATCCTCGGCCAATTGCAGACGAACAGACGAATTTGCGGGAGTACGGGATTATTCCCGCAGGAGTTACTCCTGCAGACCTTTTTAAAGGTTACTCCCGCCTGCAAGATCTAGCAAACACGATTTTTCTGACCTCTACCCTGGGCATGGTTTTTAAAATATTCCTAATTGATTAATTTTAACTTATTTAATAAAGATTGTTACACATTCCCGTTACACATCTCCTCCTAAACATTTTTTAAAGTTCTGCCAGATGAACAGATCTGCCTCTTTTCCCGTCTAGGCCTATTTATTTTTGTCACTATTTGATTAATTTGTTGCAGAAATAAATAAAGTTTTTAAGCAAGAGGGGTAGCAAAAGACTAAGGATAAGGAAAAAGACCAAAAACCGATGGCCCTTCCGAGAGGATGTGAAAGGGTGGAAATAGAAAGGAGTGGAAAAATGTTTTTTTGTTTTTAATGACAAGTTCGGATAGGCCAACCAAACTACATAGTTTTTAAAAATATTTCCTATTTTTCATTATTTAGCCTTATATTTTCAGTAGAGGTGGCCGGTTCGGCATAAATTTGCTTCACTAATATTGCCCATATAAAATCCAGATTTGGTTCGGGATCCAATGCAAATCCTGAACATTAAAAACGATCTCGGCTCGGTCTCGGGATCATTAAAAACAGGGATCGGGACTTATCTTTCTGTCTCGAGATCAGAGTCCGATCAGGTTCGGGATCCAATTGCTAATCCTGATCAAGATTCCGGCTCGGTCTCGGGATCATTAAAAACAGGGATCGGGACTTATCTTTCTGTCTCGAGATCAGAGTCCGATCAGGATCGGGATCCAATTGCTAATCCTGATAAAGATCACGGCTCGGGATCGTGATGATTAAAACCGGGATCGGTCTTATCTTTCTGGCTCGAGATCGGAAAAATCGGTGGAATTTAAAAAAAACTGGGATAATCCCGTCCGATCGGGATCCCGATACCGGCCAACTCTAATTTTGAGAGAATGCTTGCCAAAATTCTAATAATTTTATTTTGTGTAATAATCCAAACCCATGCCTGGCCTTTGAATGAGTATCCATCCCCTAGAGGAACAACTTATTGGAAATGTGGTGTTACTAAACCTGTTTGGGTTTGTGATCCTGATGGAGTGCTGAATTATCAACAGAGGAAAGAAATTGTTGATTTGATTGAAAATTTCCTGGAGAAAACTAAACGGGTAAAAAATTATGAATTTTATTTTTGAAAGTATAATTGATCCCTGACACGTCGAGAAGAACCCTTCGGCTATAATTTTAGGATTGCTTAGGAGTCAGATTTTTACTTTATTTGTAGATTGGAAGATTAAAGGGTATTTTTCCTCCCTACACCCACCGAATTTTACATTTATTTTTGTCCGGGACGTTTAGTTCGAAACCAACATCGGACTACCTATAGGCACGGGACTAACACTAATTAAAAGTATAATTTTATAGCCAAATTCAACAGTTCCAAGTATGAGAGAAGGAGTTAGACTTGAAGTGGCTTTATCAAATTTTGAATTTGATTTGGATGATGGTTCCTTTAGATATACGGTATGTTTTATTAATATGGCAAATGTCATTTTTGAAAAGAAGGACGAGAGGAAAAAGGGGCTTATGGAACAGGGAGGGAGAATCGGACTCAGGCACTCATACCGGACCCAGGCACTCATACCTAGCACTTTTGCCAATTTTTCCCTAAATTCGGTAGCTATTTCCGAATCTAAATTTCCGACAATTGACTTAGGATTGAATAATTGTAAATCTTTGTTTGATAGCTGCCCGAATAGGGAAGGTTATTATTGATCACTGAGTTGATTACGACATTCACTACATTACATTGATAACTTGGGATTTAATACAATATAAGGCCGGCAAGTTTGCATACCTCTAAGGATAGCAACTAAAAAACGGTGACCCTGCACCAGGGATCTAACCGACAATATTCCCGATTTTAGAGACTCGTCAATTTTGTCGGTCGGTCCCTGCCCTGCACAACAGCAGGTCCCTGCCCTGCCCAGGTCCCTGCCTGATGTGCAGGTCCCTGCCCTGCACAACAGCAGGTCCCTGCCCTGCCCAGGTCCCTGCCTGATGTGCAGGTCCCTGCCATGCACAACAGCAGGTCCCTGCCCTGCCCAGGTCCCTGCCTGATGTGCAGGTCCCTGCCATGCACAACAGCAGGTCCCTGCCCTGCCCAGGTCCCTGCCTGATGTGCAGGTCCCTGCCATGCACAACAGCAGGTCCCTGCCCTGCCCAGGTCCCTGCCTGATGTGCAGGTCCCTGCCCTGCACAACAGCAGGTCCCTGCCCTGCCCAGGTCCCTGCCTGATGTGCAGGTCCCTGCCATGCACAACAGCAGGTCCCTGCCCTGCCCAGGTCCCTGCCTGATGTGCAGGTCCCTGCCATGCACAACAGCAGGTCCCTGCCCTGCCCAGGTCCCTGCCTGATGTGCAGGTCCCTGCCATGCACAACAGCAGGTCCCTGCCCTGCCCAGGTCCCTGCCTGATGTGCAGGTCCCTGCCATGCACAACAGAGAGCAATCAAGATCAAGCCCCATCCAATCCTTTGGGATGGCTTTTGCCTGTTTAGTACTTCGATCTAATTTTCTTTCATAGAATCTGTGCACAAATGATAGAATTTGGATGCTAGCTGATTCAACAAAATTTGGGCGGCAAGATGTACAGAAAATTGAGTTTGTAAATACAAATGGGTTTCTTTATTGTTATTCGATACGTGACTTAATGCTCCGTCATAATGAAGACTATAAACTACCAGGGAGAAAGGTAAATATCGAAACAATATTGTATGATTACAGTGGAATCTCAATATAACGTCACCCATGGCCCAGTGGTGGCCGAAGTCTCGTTTCGCTCCCTCGTACCCTATTTCCCTTATATAACGTCACCCATGAGACCAGGATGGGCGGTATTTCGTTTAGTTTCGCTCTTTCGTATCCTATTTCTCTTTCGTTTCGGAACGAAATAAAATAAATTTTCGGACACAACGATAATAAAAAACATACGTAATAAAAATACACGGGGAATATGTAAAAATTATATCAATTTTTAGGAAATTTTGTGGGATTGTGGTTAAATTTCTGAATTTTCTTGCAGTATATTTTCTTAAAAATAAAAGAAAATTTTAAAAATTTTTATTTGCTGAATACCGTTTATTTGCTGAATCTGAATACCGTATTTACTCGATTAATTCCTCCGAAGAATTAAAATTTGAACCCATCCATGGAATGGGGAATCACTAGAGGGTGGGGAATTATTTGAGGGTGGTGAATTGATCGTATAGATACGGTACTTGCCTTACAAAATTTCCAAAATGTGACCTTACAGAGAGCTTTATTGAGAGCTTCCACTCTTTACCCACTTCGCATTAAAGCTATATATTTTATCAATAGACTCATCATCTTAAAATGAATTATCCTGATGCACTAAAGAATTATCTTGAAAATTTGCTCAAACTTTACAATCAACGCTTCTCAAGCTTCAATAGCCATAATGCTTCTAAAAAGGGTAACATGACTGTATTAGAAAAAAGTGGCTTGCAAAAGGGTGATAAAAAACTAGCTGAACGGCAGCAAACACTTGATCAAGGAAACGAAACGTTGACTGATTTTCACGCAGCTATAGAGGAGATAAACGGATATGGGTCAATAGCAATCCTAATTTGTTTAATTATTGGCCTGGTGCTTTTATTTTTAGTTTATCGAATATGCCAATTTGGAAATTATTTTAAACGGACACCAATACAACCTTTGGAAGTGATTGATAAGAAGGATAAAAAGAAGGAAGTGGAAGACAAATCAAAACTTTTATTAAACGCTTAGATTGTTTTAAATAAAGTTGACCTTGCCTAAAGATATGACTGAAAATATTGTCTTATAATTAGAGCCCGGACGGAGGGCTCGGTCGATATTTTTTCGATAAATATCGAAAAATACCGAATATCGAAAAAATAATTAATGTTAAAAAAAGAGGGGGAGGGATCGGTGGAGGATCGGTTAGCAAGGATGTTCCCTTCGCACTACCAAAGATATATTTTTCCCACTACCAAGTGTTCCCTCTGTATTATTAATGTTTTGTTCATACTACCAAAGATGTTCCCTTTGCACTTCCAAAGATATACTCTTTCCACTAGCAAGTGTCACTCCGTATTACAAATGTCCTTTAGGCACTCTCAAAAATATTTCCTTTGACCAATGATATTGTCTTATAATGAGTATTAAAAAAGGGGGGTTAGGGCATCGGTTAGCAAGGATGTTCCCTTCACACTACCAAGGATATACTTTTCCCACTACCAAGTGTTCACTCAGTAGTACAAATGTCATGTTTGTACTACCCAAGATGTTCCCTTCATATTACCATCGATGTTCGTTTCAAATTAACAAAAATATTTAGCATATGAAGTGTATCTTGGGGTAAGGCTTAGATATTTCAACCAAGTTTCGGAATTTCGACTTTTGATTCCATATTTTTAAAGATTTTTTGCTTCGAAACAGTCATGATTCATAGTTAACTATTTAATTAATTAATTTATTGCAAATATATTAAATAAAAATAAATCAATCTGCATTCGTTTATAAACAAAAGGGTTGTTTAAAGTTTGCTCTGTAAAGGCTGGCAGTTTATAAATACTAATGCAATCTAATCTAAACATAAAATTCCAATTTTTGCATTATTTTTTTATTACTTTAAGTAAGGTAGCACATCGTCCCCGACCAGACCGCCGACCCGACTTTCGACGAATTTTTAGCCAAAAGCCACGACCCGGTCCGCCAACAAATCCCGATCCCCGACGCCCCCCCCACTGTGCGGACAAACCCCCGACCCCACTATTTTCTGGCAAAAACCCTGACCCAAACCCCGAAGGCTCTATCCCGACAAATCAAAAACCCGACACTCCCGCCCCCGAAGGCTCGGGGTGCTACCCTATTTTAAAGTGAATAATTTTCTGAATAATTTTCTATTTACTGAGAAATGTTAGTTTCTGATTATATTATGCTTAATAGTCAAAATCATTTCAACCTATTCGGCGTGGTATTGGACTAAAGATCCAAAATATCCATCCCCTAGAGGAACAGCTTATTGGAAATGTAAAGTTACAAAACCAACTTTTGTTTGTGATCCTGGTGGAATGTTGAATGATTATCAGAGGAAAGAAATTGTTGATTTGGTTGAACAATTTAAGGAAAAGACTAAATTGGTATTGAATATCTAAGTTTTATTCATAATTAATTCTTATAGCCAAATTCAACGTTTCCGTGTGCAAAGGAAGGACTTAGGCTTATTGTGGCTTTAGCTGAGGTTATAATTGCTGTAGGTGATGATCCTTCGACAGTATGTTTTCAATATGATTTAGGACTGGCCTAGATTAGAGATATGGACGAGATAATATCTCGAAAAAAATTTCGGTTATCGAAATCGATATGTTTCGAAATCTCGATTCCCGTACGATTCTCTCAGATTCCGTACGATCCTCTCAGTCCTAAAAAATGTTGTAAAATGTCATGAAGATGGACAAAAATATTTCATTTGAAATATAACGTTGAGCTGAAACGAATGACTCCAAAATTTTGTGGAATCCTGACCCCGACCTTCCGCAAGCTCAACCTACAGCCGAGGTTATAACTTTGTCAAAATTGTCAAATTTGAGACACCCTGGTATGGTTAGATTCAACTCGTTGTGGTGCATGAATCATACTAAGTTAGTCCTGGTTTGACAAGTTTAAACAAGGTTAAAGCCTCGACGGTAAGTTGAGCATGCGGATGTTGGCCTGCTCCACTCTATTTATTATAAAATAATGTGATTTGAGTAAATTTTGATATTCCGCTTCAATTTTATTTTATAGAATGTGTGCAAAAATGGCGGATGGACGTCATCTAATCCAACAAGTTGTGAGTCAAAAGTACTGGGTATTGAATTGAATACAGGTGCTTTTCATTACTGTTATTCAGCACATTGGTTAATGAACATCCATAATGAAGAATTTGAAAGGCTAGCTAATGCAGAGGTAAAAAATTAAAAAATTTTCTGATATACCTACTTTATATTTCTAGAAACATCGTCTCAACAATAGAAACTATTTTGATGTCCTAAAGAATTATATTGAAAACTTGCGCATACTTTACATTAACCGTTACTCAATTTTCGATAACTACGATAGACCCTTCCAAGATACTAGAGAAAAACTATCAAAAATACAGCAATCACTTGAGCAAGGAAACCAAACATTATTAAATTCTCAAGCAGCTATAGAGGAAAGAGAGACTACGTCATGGATGATAAAAGCTGGTGTTTGTTGATTAAGAGAAATTTTTGGATATCCGGACCGTTATCCGCCTGAAAATTTCCGGATATCCGGCCATCTTGTTCGGATCTGCCAGCCTTAGTTTAGAGATGTCCATGTTTGAAAATTTATCGAGACTCAAGAAGGGTTCTCTAAGTTTGAAATTTCCTAAGATTCAAGACGGTTTTCTAATAGGGGAGGCTATTCCAAGAAAATTTTTGGAAATCCAACCTGACAGAAAAATCATAGAATTCGCCTGATTCCCTCTAAACGAATAAACTTTTAAAATTATGGCAGTCATTCTATGTATTAAGGGAGAATATTAAAGTAGATTTTTTTCAATTAAATTGCAGATATGGAATAATATCAGCCTTCTTTTTCATAACTATTGGCTTGGTGCTTTTATTTTTAATTTATCAAATACGCCAGCTTAAAAAAGATTTTAATCAGAGGAATGCTCCAAAGATGGAACTTCAATTAATGACACCAATACAACCTGTTGAAGTTGTTGAGAAAAAGAAAAAGGAGGAGGAAGTTGAAGAAAAAGCAAAAGCTTTATCAAACCTTTAAATTATGCTAAATAAATGCGAATCTTAATAAAAAATACTAAATTTTTTTAAAATTGAGTCGAACACCTTACTAGAAAATTTAACCCTTAGGTCTGAAAAACTTATAGTTACTAATAGCGAGGGTAACTTTAATACCGTATTTCCTATATTAGAGCCCCATGGGGCTCTATTTTTCAACTATCCTCCAAGGTGGGGGTGTATTAAAGGGTGGGGCTCTAATTGAGGGTGGGGCTCCATTTTTCAACCCTCTTTTGAGATTAAATCCCATTTATTAAATATCTATTGCAGCTAAGCGTCGGTCGGAAGTTTTTTTTTTCGCTTAGGTAGCTCTCCCACCATCTGGCCATTTTTAGATAAAGTTTAGCCAAAGTTTATCCACCGGGCAGGATGCTAACCTTAGAGGATTCGAACCTTCTTGCTAGGTTCAGGAGCTCTACACTAAGCTACCGAGACATTGACTAATGCTTTCTCTTTTTCCTTTTAGATCGTTTAACCACGTCTATGCGTTTTAATTGCTTCTAACATAAGTGAATCATTCTTACAGTTATGAATTTAGCACTATGTAAAAGCTGTCAGTTATAAAAAACTAGTGTAATCTAATCTAAAATTAAATAATTTCCATTTAATCATTTATTACTATTTTTAAATATTTTTTGAGAGAAATGTTCAAAATTATAATTCTAACCTGTCTAATAATCCAAACCCATTCGTGGACCTGGAAAGATTATCCATCCCCTAGAGGACAGAATTATTCGAGTTGTGGTATTTCTAAACCAGGTTATTTTTGTGATCCTGATGGAATGTTGACTAGTCAACAAAGAGAAGAAATAGCTGGATTGGTTGTGGATTTTAAGCAAAAAACCAAACGGGTAAAGAAGAAAAATTTTAAAAATTTTCTTAAAAATTTTATAGCCAACTTCAATATTTCCGTGTATGAGAGATGGACTTCGTCTTGTTGTCGCTCTGGCAAAAGTTAAAGTTGGTTATGGTTTTCTCGGGCAAGGAGTTATTAGAACTGTATGTTTTAAACAAAAGGCAGTTGAGCCTTCGGGGTGCGTCACACATTTCGGTGCTGAGTGATTTCGGCAGAAGTTAGTGGGCAGTGAGTAATTTGGATGATTGCAGGATCACTGCCTGCCTGGAGCTTGAGATTAGGCTGCGTACTTTTTTAGAACGCGGACCGACAGGCAGTTTAGGTATAATTAGGGTTGGGCAAAATATGCAAGGGAAATCGCCAAATTTACTAAAATTTGCCAAAATATGCACAAATGTGCATTAAGATCCGGGTCCTAATGTTTTTTGATTACCATAAAAACACCAGATTTGGGCTACTTCAATGCATGTCCGCACACAAAACATGCATTTGCTTGTTTTGCTCAACCCTAGTTATAATCATGATCCAATTTCGACATTCATTATATTACATAAATACCGTATTTTCTCGATAATTCCCCTCCCTCGAATAATTCCTCCTCGATTAATTCACCATGCTAGAGTTGGGTTGAAACAATAATTCCCCACCCTCAAATACCCTACTGCACGTTCAAATGCCAAAACTCAATTAATTCCCCTCCCTCGATTAATTCCCCATGCCAAGGAAGGGTTGAAAAAATAATTCCCCAGGGGAATTAATCGAGAAGATACGGTAGATGAAATTTAATAAAACGACTCCTTTTATTATATAGGATATATGCTCACCTAATAAAAGATGGACATCATCTGATGAAACAAAATGTGAGTCAAATCTAGTGGGTATTGAACTAAATTTAAATGGGTTTCTCTATTGCCAGTCGTTACCTTGGTTTATGGAAATTGATAAAAAAGAATATGAACACCTCGGAGATACAGGGGTAAAAAATAATAAAATTCTTTACTTGTACTATAATTCTTTACGTACTATTAAATAGAAATTTGGTATCGACAAGAATAAAAACTATTTTGATGCATTAAAAAACTATATTGACTATTTGTGCCAGCTTTACACTCACCGCTTTTCAATTTTTGATAAAATTGAAGCTTATGAGGATAACATAACAAATGAGCATAATAACATTAATATTTTGTGAGTTTTATTTTTTTTCGAGATGATAAGGTGGGAAATTTGGAGATACAAGCTCAAAGACCATGACGGTACCCAAGACCAATCCCGAAAAGTCAAGGAAAGTCACGAGTCAATACTCATTACCAAAAGCGCTGGACGTCTCTAATAGGGTTGGTTATTCCAAGAAAATTTTTGAATATCCAGTAAAGCAGCTGGGCTATAGCTATTTCTCTCTTTTAGCTAGTGCAAAAGGTTATTCGGCGGCTGGGAGCGAACCAGCATCTTCAGTAGACCGGACTGATGTGTTAGCCATTACACCACGCCGCCTACTGCATAGCCTTAGGAAATTAATAGCTATATGCTTTACAATCCTTAACCTATCAGAAAAATTCTAGCATCCGATAGGTTTTCTCTAAACGAATGAATTTTTTGAAAAAAATAAAAGTGAGAATAGTGGAGATAATGGGGTTAGTTTGAGGTAGGGTTGGTCCCCGACCCCGACTAACCCCGACCCCGACCCCGAACCCCGACACTTTTTGACCTAAAACCCCGACCCCGACCCCGACATTCCCAACCCCGAAAACCCCGACCCCCGAAAGTTCGACCCCGACGACCCCGAACCCCGAAGAATTTTTATGACCCCGACTCAAACTGCATTAATTAACTTTTATATATTTTTTTGTTGGCATTCTGCTAAAATTCTGATAAAACAAAAGAAAGAAAAGACAACTAAAAAAGAGGAAAAGAACTATTTTTATTTTTCTCTATTCACAGAGAATATTTTCCTGACAAAATTTAAACTAGCTTTTTCTATTCATAGTTTGGTTATACACAACTCATTTTGAATTTGTAATTTTATATAGGTCTTTAGATTTAATTATAAATTATATTAAAATGTCAACTAAATCTTCTGATATTTGGAATTTTTTTGTAAAATTACCAATGACTGATGAATCAGCTAGGTGCAAGCTTTGTGAAAATAAATTTTCTTGTAAAAAAAGTTCAACAAAAGGTTTATGGGACCATCTTAAGTCTATGCATTTGGCAGAATATGAGAAGTTTTTGCAAAAGAATACATCAACATCAGTAAGAGCAAACTAATAAAATAAGATTTTTTATTAACAGACTAATCTGGATATATCAAAATTTCTTGGTAAGGATGAGCCTCAAAAAAAAGCAGATGAAAAAATTGCGGCACTTATGCTTCGCCAAAATTGCTCTTTTTTATTTGTCGAAGCACCTGAATTGAGGGATCTTTTTCAACGTGCATATCCGAATTTAACAGTTGCTTAATTTTTATAATCATCATTAACATATTTTTAGTTACGTCGAAGAAATTATTTTAAAAGAACTGTTATTCCTTCAATGGCAGAAGAAATTAGGCTTAAAATTACTCAACGAATAGGAAACGATAAATATGCTTTGACATCTGATGGTTGGTCACAGGTGACAAAGTCACCAGCACTTCTCAGGTTTTATTAGTTTAATTTTTATAAAAATAAAACACGTTAAGTATAACAGTGCATCACTTAAATTCATCATTCGAACGAGACGATTTCGTGTTCGATGTTGTGCCTATGTAATTTCGACAAAATTACAGCTTCAACTGTAATTTCGACACTTAAACGTTTAAGAGATTTTTTACAGGTTTATATTAAATTTCTTTTTCAATTTTCATTTTCAAAGGAACAAAATTTCTCAAATCGTGTTGCTCCATTTGTGCAAATTCTTATTAGATCACTAAATGATCGTCTTCCAGAATTGAGTCATAATACGATATTAAGAATTGCCATGCTTCTAGACCCGAGATTTGCTTATAGTGATTTATTTCCGGGGGAAACATGGAAAAGTATTGAACAACAATTTATTGAATTTGCCAAAGAAGGTAAATTTACTTTTGATTTAATGAAGTACCTTTACATTTTTATAGAATTATTGGTTGTTAATTCTGCAGCAAACTTGGAGCCAGTGTCATTTGACCTAGAAGAGGAAATTTTATCTGAAGAAGCTGAATCAAGTGATCATTTAAGTACAAGCAGCGATGAGAAATGTATTTTTGCCATTAAAAATAAACTCACTAAAATTTAGATGATATTTGGGCAAAACCTAAATCCCCTTGTACTTCTACATTGCCAAATACAACAATTTCTGGTGAGGAGTCAGCAGATTTTGTGTCAAAGATTGAATCGCAATTGTCACAATATAAAGCCTGGCAGCGTGTTCCAGTTGATAGTGATTTATTTTCATGGTGGAGAGATAATGGGAAGTTCATTCCTGAAATGGCTAAAATTGCTCAAATGTTGCATTGTATTCCCGCAACTTCCATTTGTTCTGAGAGGCTTTTCTCGAAAGCGGGACTTATATATGCTAATACTCTCAGGAATAGGTTTTATTTATTTGTGATTA